AGCTGTTTTAAAGTCTATTCTCTGAGCCACAGGAAGCCAGTGCAGAGACCTGAGAACCGGACTAATATGGTCGTACTTCCTGGTTCTAGTCAGGACTAATGTGGTTGTACTTCCTGGTTCTAGTCAGGACTAATGTGGTCGTACTTCCTGGTTCTAGTCAGGACTAATGTGGTTGTACTTCCTGGTTCTAGTCAGGACTAATGTGGTCGTACTTCCTGGTTCTAGTCAGGACTAATGTGGTCGTACTTCCTGGTTCTAGTCAGGACTAATGTGGTCGTACTTCCTGGTTCTAGTCAGGACTAATGTGGTCGTACTTCCTGGTTCTAGTCAGGACTAATGTGGTCGTACTTCCTGGTTCTAGTCAGGACTAATGTGGTCGTACTTCCTGGTTCTAGTCAGGACTAATGTGGTCGTACTTCCTGGTTCTAGTCAGGACTCGAGCTGCTGCATTTTGAATGTACTGCAGCTGTTTTACAGCCTGTTTGGACAGACCTGTGAGCAGGCCATTGCAGTAGTCTAACCTACTGGAGACAAATACATGGATAAGAATCTCCAAGTCTGCTTTAGACACTATGTTTTTGATCCTGGCAATGTTTTTTAGATGGTAAAAAGCTGCTGATGTTACTGATTTGATGTGGCTATTAAAATTTAAGTCTGAGTCCAGTATTACCCCTAGATTTCTGACCTTGTTTGAAGGTTTTAGGGAGAGAGACTGTAGGTGACAGATGACGCTCTCTCTTTGTTTCTGGGGACCAAAGACAATCATTTCAGTTTTGTCTGCGTTTAGCTGAAGGAAGTTGTTTTGCATCCACTCACTGATCTGTTGGATACAGTGAAGGAGTGAGTTCACTGGTCCATGTTCTCCTGCAGTCAGTGAGACATAGATCTGAGTGTCGTCTGCATAGTTATGATAGGAAACTTTGTTTCTGCGTATTAACTGACCTAACGGCAGCATGTAGAGATTGAACAGAAGAGGTCCCAGGATCGACCCCTGTGGTACTCCACAGGTCAGGGCCATATGATCTGAGAAACAGTTTCCAATCTCCACAAAGTACTTCCTGTCCTCAAGGTAAGACCTAAACCAACTTAGGGCGGTGCCAGCGACGCCAACCCAGTCCTCTAGTCTCTGTAAGAGGATCTCATGGTCGACGGTGTCAAAGGCAGCACTTAGATCTAACAAGATTAAGATTGAGACTTTGCCTGCGTCAGTGTTCAGCCGGATATCGTTTGTAACCTTAACGAGAGCAGTCTCAGTGCTGTGGTGGGGTCTAAAGCCGGACTGAAACATATCAAATGAGTTGTTGATTATAAGAAATCTAGTAAGCTGTAGGTAGACAACTTTTTCAAGGACTTTCCCCATAAATGGCAGATTTGAGATGGGACGATAGTTGTTAAGTACCGTAGCATCCAGACTGCTCTTTTTTAGCAGGGGCCTGATGACTGCAGTTTTCAGGGCCTTTGGGAATATTCCAGAATGAAGGGACATGTTTACTATCTGTGTGAGTGAAGGTAACAGACTGCTCAGAACAGACTTCAGAAATCTAGTGGGTAGTACATCCAAGCTGCATGTGGAGGAGCTCAGACTGGAGATTATCTCTTGGACAGTTTACATTTACATCATTTACAGGTACAAAGTAAGTTAGCTCAAAGAGCCTTTCTGGCTGTTGGATGGTTATCTGTGGATTGGAGACAATGGCGTTTTTGATGCCTTGAACCTTGTCATTGAAAAAATGTGCAAACTCATTGCATTTACGTTTGGAAGTTAGCTCTAATGGCATCTGAACAGGGGGGTTTGTTAATCTATTAACTGTTGAAAACAGAACACGCAGATTGTTGCTGCAGCCTTCAATCATTTCAGAAAAATACCTTTCTCTCGTACTACGTAGCACCCGGTTAAACTCGCACAACTTATCTTTGAAGATCTCGTAATCAACCTGGAGGTTGGACTTGCGCCACTTCCGCTCGGCCCTCCGGCACTTTCTCTTTTGTGCCCTGACCGAGTCTGCTTTAGCCCACGGCGCCTTCTGCTTATTTTTCACTATTTTAACCTTCACAGGGGCAACGGTATCCAGAACATTCAAAACACTAGAGGTGACAGAGTTAAACAGTTCATCTACAGTAGAATACGATGCATTCTCAAAGTTTATCATTCCCATAAATAGTTCACTCGTATTTTCATTTATGTGTCTTCTTCGTACAGTTGCAAAGTCCACTGGTGGTTTGTTAGTGAAACACATGTCAAAAAAAACACAGAACACATCCGAAAGAGCAACATCGACCACGCTTACATTTGAAATAATCACCCCCTTTGTAACTAACAGATCTAGAGTGTGCCCTCTGCTGTGGGTGGGGCCACTTACGTGCTGAGTGAGATCAAAGGATTCAAGTACAGAACTCAGCTCATTTGCATTTCTGTCATCAACATTATCCACATGAATATTAAAATCACCTGTAATAACCAAACTATCAAAATCTGTGCATACAACTGAAAGCAACTCTGTAAAATTATCAATAAAACTGTGACATGACTGCGGTGGCTTGTATAGGACTATGAAGAGTATTGGAGGAGATTGTTTTTGTTGTATTTTAAAAGACACACATTCAAATGACGAAAACTTCCCAAGAGACATTCTATGGGAGACACATTTAACATGTTTATAGAATCATGTGTTTATCATGTTTATAGAATCATGTGTTTAACATGTTTACAGAATCATGTGTTTAACATGTTTATAGAATCATGTGTTTAACATGTTTATAGAGTCATGTGTTTAACATGTTTATAGAATCATGTGTTTAACATGTTTATAGAATCATGTGTTTAACATGTTTATAGAATCATGTGTTTAACATGTTTATAGAATCATGTGTTTAACATGTTTATAGAATCATGTGTTTATTATGTTTATAGAATCATGTGTTTATCATGTTTACAGAATCATGTGTTTAACATGTTTATAGAGTCATGTGTGTAACATGTTTATAAAATCATGTGTTTATTGTGTTTATAGAATCATGTGTTTATCATGTTTATAGAATCATGTGTTTAACATGTTTATAGAATCATGTGTTTAACATGTTTACAGATGGATGTGTTTAACATGTTTATAGAATCATGTGTTTATCGTGTTTATAGAATCATGTGTTTATCATGTTTATAGAATCATGTGTTTAACATGTTTATAGAATCATGTGTTTTACATGTTTATAGAATCATGTGTTTATCATGTTTATAGAATCATGTGTTTAACATGTTTATAGAATCATGTGTTTAACATGTTTATAGAATCATGTGTTTATTATGTTTATAGAATCATGTGTTTAACATGTTTATAGAATCATGTGTTTAACATGTTTATAGAATCATGTGTTTATTATGTTTATAGAATCATGTGTTTAACATGTTTATAGAATCATGTGTTTAACATGTTTACAGAATCACGTGTTTAACATGTTTATAAAATCATGTTAAACACCCCAGCCCCAGGTCTGTCCTGGGCCATGTCCTACTGTGTAGACCCAGGCCCCAGGTCTGTCCTGGGCCGGTTCCTCTCCCATGTCCCATGTTCTCCTGTTGGGGGGAAAGCAGAAATACCAATCCATTTTGGGGCCACCAAACTGAAACCCTAAAACTGAATGCTGCAAACCAAACATAATATATCCGAGGCCTTTCAGCCCAAACCAAGCTTAGGTCAGAAAGACAACATTGTTTCAACAATGGAAAAAAAGTCCTAGAGTTTGTTCTTTAATGTGCACGTCAGAAACGAAAATAGAATAACGCAAGGTTCACGGACCCTTCACCAGCGGCTTTGTTCAGTTTTAAAGGTTGGCTCTGTATTTGAGATTAACACCCCTGTTCTACAGATCAATCTAGTATCTGTCTGTCTGTCTGCCTATCTGTCTATCTCTGTATCTGTCTGTCTATCTCTGTATCTGTCTGCCTATCTGTCTATCTCTGTATCTGTCTGTCTATCTATGTATCTGTCTGTCTATCTATGTATCTGTCTGTCTATCTCTGTATCTGTCTGCCTATCTGTCTATCTCTGTATCTGTCTGTCTATCTATGTATCTGTCTGTCTATCTATGTATCTGTCTGTCCATCTCTGTATCTGTCTGTCCATCTCTGTATCTGTCTGTCCATCTCTGTATCTGTCTGTCTATCCATCTCTGTATCTGTCTGTCTATCTCTGTATCTGTCTGTCTATCTGTCTGTCTATCTCTGTATCTGTCTGTCTATGTCTGTCTATCTCTGTATCTGTCTGTCTATCTGTCTGTCTATCTCTGTATCTGTCTGTCTATCTCTGTATCTGTCTGTCTATCTGTCTGTCTATCTCTGTATCTGTCTGTCTATCTCTGTATCTGTCTGTCTGTCTCTGTATATGTCTGTCTCTGTATCTGTCTATCTGTCTGTCTATCTCTGTATCTGTCTGTCTGTCTATCTATGTATCTGTCTGTCTATCTCTGTATCTGTCTGTCTAACTATGTATCTGTCTGTCTAACTCTGTATTTGTATCTGTCTGTCTCTGTCTCTGTTTCTCGTGAAGGAAAATAACTTTCTGTCCCTGAAGATCTGTGGAACATTCAAATCTACTACGGCTAACTCTGTGACCGTGGAGAAGGCAAAGGTACAGGCTGTTGCATATCACTTCCTGATTATACAACTCCATTTCCCATGAGCCACTGAGAGAGTCTTGGAAACCAGTTTTTAATGAGCGAGGAGAGTTTCTTTAAGCTAAAAATAACATGTTTGAAAAAACACCGTGGGAGAGATCATTACATTTCCCAGTTAAAAGCCTCATTGTATGATCAGAGCACTAAAGCATTCTGGGTATTGTAGTTCTCGGACAAAGATCTCAGTTTCTGAAACGCGATCTGAAACATGCTTTTTTCATCTACATCTAACATTTAGTTTTATAACCTCCACTAACGGCTCTTTCAGAACCAAGAGATGAAAGAAGTTAGTTTTTATGATTCCAGGATGGATTTTAAAGGAGACATTATCAACATGAAAATCCCTCTTTCTCAGCTGTGGACGTAGTGTTTCCTGGTTTCTCGTCTGTGGCCCCTGGTTTTTCGTCTGTGGCTCCTGGTTTTTCGTCTGTGGCTCCTGGTTTCTCGTCTGCGGCTCCTGGTTTCTCGTCTGTGGATCCTGGTTTCTCGTCTGTGGCTCCTGGTTTCTCTGACCCTCTCTCTTTTCTCTGGTCTAAAGCTGTTCTTTGGATCCAGCGTCTGTGAGATGTCTGTGAGATGACGTCTGTGAGATGTCTGTGAGATGTCTGTGAGATGTCTGTGAGATGTCAGTGAGATGTCTGTGAGATGTCAGTGAGACGTCTGTGAGATGTCTGTGAGATGTCTGTGAGATGTCTGTGAGATGTCTGTGAGATGACGTCTGTGAGATGTCTGTGAGATGACGTCTGTGAGATGTCAGTGAGATGTCTGTGAGATGTCTGTGAGATGACGTCTGTGAGATGTCAGTGAGATGTCTGTGAGATGTCTGTGAGATGACGTCTGTGAGATGTCTGTGAGATGTCTGTGAGATGTCTGTGAGATGTCAGTGAGATGTCAGTGAGATGTCTGTGAGATGTCTGTGAGATGTCTGTGAGATGTCAGTGAGATGTCTGTTAGATGTCTGTTAGATGTCTGTTAGATGTCTGTTAGATGTCAGTGAGATGTCAGTGAGATGTCAGTGAGATGTCAGTGAGATGTCTGTGAGTTTCCTAAAGCTTTAATCTTTCGCAAAAAACGATCGATCTCCATCCAGAATGTTCCACAGTCTTTAGATTAAATAATGCACTGGATTTACAGACAGACACAGACACTTACAGACACAGACACTTACAGACACAGACACTTACAGACACAGACATTTACAGACACAGACATTTACAGACACAGACACTTACAGACACAGACACTTACAGACACAGACACTTACAGACACAGACATTTACAGACACAGACATTTACAGACACAGACACTTACAGACACAGACACTTACAGACACAGACATTTACAGACACAGACTCTTACAGACACAGACATTTACAGACACAGACACTTACAGACACAGACACTTACAGACACAGACATTTACAGACACAGACATTTACAGACACAGACATTTACAGACACAGACTCTTACAGACACAGACATTTACAGACACAGACACTTACAGACACAGACACTCACAGACACAGACATTTACAGACAGACATTTACAGACACAGACTCTTACAGACACAGACATTTACAGACACAGACATTTACAGACACAGACACTCACAGACACAGACATTTACAGACAGACATTTACACACACAGACTCTTACAGACACAGACATTTACAGACACAGACACTTACAGACACAGACACTCACAGACACAGACATTTACAGACACAGACATTTACAGACACAGACTCTTACAGACACAGACATTTACAGACACAGACATTTACAGACACAGACTCTTACAGACACAGACACTTACAGACACAGACTCTTACAGACAGACATTTACAGACAGACCTTTACACACACAGACATTTACAGACACAGACACTTACAGACACAGACACTTACAGACACAGACACTTACAGACACAGACATTTACAGACACAGACACTTACAGACACAGACACTTACAGACACAGACATTTACAAACACTTACAGACACAGACTCTTACAGACACAGACACTTACAGACACAGACACTTACAGACATTTACAGACACAGACACCTACAGACACAGACATTTACAGACACAGACACTTACAGACACAGACATTTACAGACACAGACATTTACAAACACTTACAGACACAGACTCTTACAGACACAGACACTTACAGACACAGACACTTACAGACACAGACATTTACAGACACAGACACCTACAGACACAGACATTTACAGACACAGACACTTACAGACACAGACACTTACAGACACAGACACTTACAGACACAGACATTTACAGACACAGACATTTACAGACACAGACATTTACAAACACTTACAGACACAGACTCTTACAGACAGACATTTACAGACAGACCTTTACACACACAGACACTTACAGACACAGACTCTTACAGACACTTACAGACACAGACACTTACAGACACAGACACTTACAGACACAGACATTTACAGACACAGACACCTACAGACACAGACACTTACAGACACAGACATTTACAGACACAGACACCTACAGACACAGACATTTACAGACACAGACACTTACAGACACAGACATTTACAGACACAGACATTTACAAACACTTACAGACACAGACTCTTACAGACAGACATTTACAGACACAGACACTTACAGACACAGACATTTACAGACACAGACATTTACAAACACTTACAGACACAGACTCTTACAGACAGACATTTACAGACACAGACATTTACAGACACAGACATTTACAGACACAGACTCTTACAGACACAGACATTTACAGACACAGACATTTACAAACACTTACAGACACAGACACTTACAGACACAGACTCTTACAGACACAGACACTCACAGACACTTACAGACAGGAACACAGGGTAGATACAGCCTAAACAGACACAGGTGACACACATCAGGAAACAGGAAGTACTAAAGACAGAGTCACAAACTACAAAATAAAACAGGAAATGAACCTGAACCATGACATTTAGTCTGATTTAAGAACTGTTGCTTTATTTCCTCATTCCAAAGGAGACAGTTCTGTATCTTTTTGTTTGTACTTCTGACGTTGAGACACTTTTCACCACAGACCCGGTTTCAGCCCAAGATGATGTCGTTACGGAGCTGAGCACTTCTTTTCCAAAACCCGTAAAGTCTGGTAGAAATGTGGACCTAACTGGACCGTGGTGAGCCGACGTGAGCCACCCTCCACATGACAGCGGCCAGGCACGTGAAGGACGCCGTCGTGAAGAGTCTGGCGTTCAGCTACAGAATATTCATTATTATTATTTATAAAGTGTTTTCTTTTTCAGCAGAACCACAGAAAAACAAACCCGACAAACGGCAGAGCAGTTAGTCGTGTGAGATCCCAAATTGGACGGTGGCTCGCGTCCCGATGATAACGAGGCAGAAACTGTGACCGCGGAGACAAACAGGGAGCAGAGGCCTAATTAGTGAGACGTATGGTTATTTCATACTGTTGTTTAAACATTCATGGGCTCGAGTCCCACGGTCGGCCAGGGAACAGAACCCACTCCATTATGCAGGAGATTCAGTCTGTTTTAATGCAGATGTCAAATGAAACTGAGACAAACCAGATTGTTTGGTGAGAAAACATGGATTATTGGTGTTTCTGGATTCTTTTTAAACTGTAATAAAATGAGCTCAGACCTGAATCCTTCAGAGAAAAGACGGTAAAATATTCATGTTATTTTGGGAAAAGCTAAAGGCCAACACGAGGCGCTTTGATCCATGACAAACAATTGGCTCAGTTGGTCCTGGATCAGAGCTGAATGCACCGCCTCCGACTGCGGATCACAACCAGCCGTGTCCAACTGTGCCGACCCGAGACACAGGGGAAAGATTGGACACTTGTTTAGACCCGTGTCAGCTTTTCAAACATAACTGCACAGTTATAAAATGGTCAAAATAAACTTCTAACTTTCAACATAAGTTTTCTGATGTCACAGTGGACCCAGGACCCAGGGAAGGATTAAACAACATTATAAAGAACCTTTTTAATCATGTTTTAACAAATCTATATTTATACGACATGTTTTAGTGGTAGAGGACACCGGAGCACTCGGAGGAAACCTACATAGACACAGGTAGAACATGCAAACTCTACACAGAAATGCCTTACAAGGACAACTTCATAAAGGAAAGAGCAGTGCGTGCTCCAAAAGGACACTATACATAACAAAATAACTATACATATATACAGTATATAAGACAATATAAGACTGTGTATCAGTTTGGGTTTGGGTCAGCACCAGAACACGAGCCACATCTGAGCAACGAGCCAGAAACACATCATTCTTTGGTTTGGCCTCTGTCCCGCAGCAGCACTTTGTGACGGGACCTAGGTCCTGGTACATTCAAAATGCAGCAGCTCGAGTCCTGACAAGAACCAGGAAGTACGACCACATTAGTCCTGACTAGAACCAGGAAGTACGACCGCATTAGTCCTGACTAGAACCAGGAAGTACGACCACATTAGTCCAGACTAGAACCAGGAAGTACGACCACATTAGTCCTGACTAGAACCAGGAAGTACGACCACATTAGTCCTGACTAGAACCAGGAAGTACGATCACATTAGTCCTGACTAGAACCAGGAAGTACGACCATATTAGTCCAGACTAGAACCAGGAAGTACGACCACATTAGTCCTGACTAGAACCAGGAAGTACGATCACATTAGTCCTGACTAGAACCAGGAAGTACGACCACATTAGTCCTGACTAGAACCAGGAAGTACGACCACATTAGTCCTGACTAGAACCAGGAAGTACGACCATATTAGTCCAGTCCTCAGGTCTCTGCACTGGCTTCCTGTGGCTCAGAGAATAGACTTTAAAACAGCTCTGCTTGTTACAAGTCTCTCCATGGCCTCGCACCAAACTATATTAGTGACATGTTAGTCCCATATGAACCAGCCCGGACTCTGAGGAGCACAGGGACTGGACTCCTGCTTGGACTCTGAGGAGCACAGGGACTGGACTCCTGCTGGGACTCTGAGGAGCACAGGGACTGGACTCCTGCTGGGACTCTGAGGAGCACAGGGACTGGACTCCTGCTGGGACTCTGAGGAGCACAGGGACTGGACTCCTGCTGGGACTCTGAGGAGCACAGGGACTGGTCTCCTGCTGGGACTCTGAGGAGCACAGGGACTGGACTCCTGCTGGGACTCTGAGGAGCACAGGGACTGGCCTCCTGCTGGGACTCTGAGGAGCACAGGGACTGGACTCCTGCTGGGACTCTGAGGAGCACAGGGACTGGACTCCTGCTGGGACTCTGAGGAGCACAGGGACTGGACTCCTGCTGGGACTCTGAGGAGCACAGGGACTGGACTCCTGCTGGGACTCTGAGGAGCACAGGGACTGGACTCCTGCTGGGACTCTGAGGAGCACAGGGACTGGACTCCTGCTGGGACTCTGAGGAGCACAGGGACTGGACTCCTGCTGGGACTCTGAGGAGCACAGGGACTGGACTCCTGCTGGGACTCTGAGGAGCACAGGGACTGGACTCCTGTTAGTGCCCAGAGTCAGAACTAAACATGGGGAGGCTGCTTTTCAGATTCATGCTGCTAAAATCTGGAACAGTCTTCCTGAAGATGTGAGACAGGCCTCCTCTCTGACAATGTTTAAAACCAGGTTAAAGACAGTTCTGTTTAGCTGTGCTACAACTGAGGGATTTTATACTTTTATCTTTCTTTTTAATGTTCTGTGATTATTTATGATTTTAATGCTTTCTTGTTTTGTTCAGCACTTTGAGTTGTGCTATACAAATAAACTTGCCTTGCCTTGGTGCTGGTGCTGGCATGAGGTCCAGGTACTGAAAGCATGAGGTCCAGGTTCTGAAGGCATGAGGTCCAGGTTCTGAAAGCATGAGGTTCAGGTTCTAAAAGCATGAGGTCCAGGTTCAGAAGGCCTGAAGTCCAGGTTCGGAAGGCATGAGTTCCAGGTTCTGAAAGCATGAGGTCCAGGTTCTGAAGGCCTGAAGTCCAGGTTCTGAAGGCATGAGGTCCAGGTTCTGAAAGCATTAGGTTCTGGTTCTGAAGGCATAAGGTCCAGGTTCTTAAAGGATGAGGCCCAGGTTCTAAAAGCATGAGGTCCAAGTTCTGAAAGCATGAGGTCCAGGTTCTGAAGGCATGAGGTCCAGGTTCTGAAAGCATGAGGTCCAGGTTCTGAAGGCATGAGGTCCAGGTTCTGAAAGCACGAGGTCCAGGTTTTGAAAGCATGAGGTCCAGGTTCTGAAGGCATGAGGTCCAGGTTCTTAAAGGATGAGGTCCAGGATCTGAAAGCATGAGGTCCAGGTTCTGAAGGCATGAGGTCCAGGTTCTTAAAAGATGAGGTCCAGGTTCTGAAAGCATGAGGTCCAGGTTCTGAAAGCATGAGGTCCAGGTTCTGAAGGCATGAGGTCCAGGTTCTGATAGCATGAGGTCCAGGTTCTGAAGGCATGAGGTCCAGGTTCTGAAAGCATGAGGTCCAGGTTCTGAAAGCATGAGGTCCAGGTTCTGAAAGCATGAGGTCCAGGTTCTGAAAGCATGAGGTCCAGGTTCTGTAAGGATGAGGTCCAGGTTCTGAAGGCATGGGGTCCAGGTTCTGAAGGCATGACGTCCAGGTTCTGAAAGCATGAGGTCCAGGTTCTGAAGGCATGAGGTCCAGGTTCTGAAAGTATGAGGTCCAGGTTCTGAAAGTATGAGGTCCAGGTTCTGAAAATATGAGGTCCAGGTTCTGAAAGGATGAGGTCCAGGTTCTGAAAGCATGAGGTCCAGGTTCTGAAAGTATGAGGTCCAGGTTCTGAAAGGATGAGGTCCAGGTTCTGAAGGCATGAGGTCCAGGTTCTGAAGGCATGAGGTCCAGGTTCTGAAAGTATGAGGTCCAGGTTCTGAAGGCATGAGGTCCAGGTTCTGAAAGCATGAGGTTCAGGTTCTAAAAGCATGAGGTCCAGGTTCTGAAAGTATGAGGTCCAGGTTCTGAAAGCATGAGGTCCAGGTTCTGAAGGCATGAGGTCCAGGTTCTGAAGGCATGAGGTCCAGATTCTTAAAGCATGAGGTCCAGGTTCTGAAGGCATGAGGTCTAGGTTCTGAAAGCATGAGGTCCAGGTTCTGAAAGCATGAAGCCCAGGTTCTGAAGGCATGAGGTCCAGGTTCTGAAAGCATGAGGTCCAGGTTCTCAAGGCATGAGGTCCAGGTTCAGAAGGCATGAGGTCCAGGTTTTGAAAGCATGAGGTCCAGGTTCTTAAAGGATGAGGTCCAGGATCTGAAAGCATGAGGTCCAGGTTCTGAAGGCATGAGGTCCAGGTTCTAAAAGCATGAGGTCCAGGTTCTGAAGGCATGACGTCCAGGTTCTGAAAGCATGAGGTCCAGGTTCTGAAAGGATGAGGTCCAGGTTCTGAAGGCATGAGGTCCAGGTTCTGAAGGCATGAGGTCCAGGTTCTGAAAGTATGAGGTCCAGGTTCTGAAAGCATGAGGTCCAGGTTCTGAAGGCATGAGGTCTAGGTTCTGAAAGCATGAGGTCCAAGTTCTGAAAGCATGAGGCCCAGGTTCTGAAGGCATGAGGTCCAGGTTCTGAAAGCATGAGGTCCAGGTTCTAAAGGCATGAGGTCCAGGTTCAGAAGGCATGAGGTCCAGGTTTTGAAAGCATGAGGTCCAGGTTCTTAAAGGATGAGGTCCAGGATCTGAAAGCATGAGGTCCAGGTTCTGAAGGCATGAGGTCCAGGTTCTAAAAGCATGAGGTCCAGGTTCTGAAGGCATGACGTCCAGGTTCTGAAAGCATGAGGTCCAGGTTCTGAAAGGATGAGGTCCAGGTTCTGAAGGCATGAGGTCCAGGTTCTGAAGGCATGAGGTCCAGGTTCTGAAAGTATGAGGTCCAGGTTCTGAAAGCATGAGGTCCAGGTTCTGAAAGGATGAGGTCCAGGTTCTGAAGGCATGAGGTCCAGGTTCTGAAAGCATGAGGTTCAGGTTCTAAAAGCATGAGGTCCAGGTTCTGAAAGCATGAGGTCCAGGTTCTGAAGGCATGAGGTCCAGGTTCTGAAAGCATGAGGTCCAGGTTCTGAAAGCATGAGGTCCAGGTTCTGAAGGCATGAGGTCCAGGTTCTGAAGGCATGAGGTCCAGAAGGAGGAGAGGAGGGGGAGGTGGAGGAGGGGGAGGTGGAGGAGGGGGAGGTGGAGGAGGTGGAGGAGGAGGAGGGGGAGGTGGAGGAGGGGGAGGTGGAGGAGGTGGAGGAGGAGGAGGGGGAGGTGGAGGAGGGGGAGGTGGGTGGAGGAGGAGGAGGAGGAGGAGGAGGAGGAGGTGGAGGAGGTGGAGGAGGTGGAGGTGGAGGAGGTGGAGGTGGAGGAGGTGGAGGTGGAGGAGGTGGAGGAGGTGGAGGTGGAGGAGGTGGAGGTGGAGGAGGTGGAGGAGGTGGAGGTGAGGTGGAGGTGGAGGAGGTGGAGGTGGAGGAGGTGGGTGCAAGCCTTGAGTTGATGAAAGTGACTCATTGCGAGACTCTGGGAAAAGGGTCAAATGTTGGAAGTTTCAACATTTTAACAGCTGCTTAATTGGTGTAGGTGGGCGTAGGTTGGCGCTGGTTGGCACAGGTTGGTGCAGGTTGGTGTAGGTTGGTGCAGGTTGGTGTAGGTTGGCGTAGGTTGGTGTAGGTTGGCACAGGTTGGTGTAGGTTGGCACAGGTTGGTGTAGGTGGGCGTAGGTTGGTGTAGGTGGGCGTAGGTTGGCGCTGGTTGGCACAGGTTGGCACAGGTTGGCGCAGGTTGGCGCTGGTTGGCGCAGGTTGGCGCTGGTTGGCGCTGGTTGGCGTAGATTGGCAGAGCAGCAGCAGTCAGAGAGTGCGTTGTAGGTCGAGCAGGTTGTAGTTTGGTGAAGAATGCGATAGTAAAGTATTCTGGTCTGGTTCTATCAAGAAACTGAAGCCGGAGCAAGAGGAATGTTTAGTGAATGTAATCTCTGGTCAAGATTGTGGCGCTACTCCCCACGGGCTCTGTTAGCGGCAAAGCAGATGGCTAAAGCTAGGCTACGTGCTAAAGCTAGGCTAAATGCTAACAACACACTTGGGCGCACTACATACGTCACGGTAAACTCAGATCCAATCATTTCAATCTGCAAAAGGAGTTAGCCCCTCCCACCTGTTCACGGAGCCAATGGAGCAGATCCAGACCTTAGTATGAAATGAAATTTGTACTATGGTGTGGTACAACCAGGCTACAAAAGTGGTAGTTTTTAATTCCCTTTTGGTCGCAGAAGACAGATTATTATTATTTGATCTATATTTAGTGTCTGTGAGCCTCGGACACACACAGACACACACAGGCACACACAGACACACACAGACAGACACACACAGACACCTACAGACACACAGACAGACACACACAGACACACACAGGCACACACAGACACACACACAGGCACACACAGACACACACAGACAGACACACACAGACACCCACAGACACACACAGGCACACACAGACACACACAGGCACACACAGACACACACAGACACCTACAGACACACACAGACACACAGACAGACGCACACAGACACAGACAGACACAAACAGACACACTCAGACACACACACACAGACACACACACACAGACACCCACAGACACAGACAGACACACAAAGAGACACACAGACACAGACAGACACACAAAGACACACACAGACACACAGACAGACACACACAGACACACACACACAAAAAACAGACACACACACAGGCACACACAGACACACACAGACAGACACACACTCAGACACACTGAGACACACACAGACACCCACAGACACACACAGGCACACACAGACACACACAGACACCCACAGACACACAGACAGACACACACAGACACAAACAGACACACTCAGACACACACACACAGACACGCACAGACACACAGACAGACACACACAGACACGCACAGACACACACAGACACACACAGACAGACACACACAGACACACACAGACAGACACACACACAGACACACACAGACAGACACACACACAGACACACACAGACAGACACACACAGACACACAGACACACACAGACAGACACACACAGACAGACACACACAGACACACAGACACACAAAGACACACACACACAGACACAAACAGACACACTCAGACACACACAGAAACACAGACACACACAGACACACACACACACACAGACACAAACAGACACACTCAGACACACACAGACACACACACACACAGACACACACAGACAGACACACACAGACACACTCAGACACACACAGACACACACACACACAGACACACACACACACACAGACACACACAGACAGACACACACAGACACACTCAGACACACACACACACAGACACAAACAGACACACTCAGACACACACAGACACACAGACACACTCAGACACACACACACAGACACACACAGACACCCACAGACACACACAGACACACTCAGACACACACACACAGACACACACAGACACCCACAGACACACACAGACACCCACAGACACACACTGTCTGTTGGCCGTTCCTCTCCATGACTCCATGTTTTCAGGGGTTCAGGAGTTTCTCGGTCGCCTGCAGTGATCAGACACATCCAAACTCTCCCTGAACCCAACTCTGCGTCTGCATTTGAATTGTAGATACATGGAATAGACATGAATTATTCATGTCATCACACAACATTATAATCAAATGCATTAAGACAAAATAGTTCATTATTAAAGTGGATACATAGGTTCAGGAGCCGTTTCCAGAACAGGTTTTTATAAAACAGAGAAGAACACGACAGTCACAATAAACTCAGAGTTTTACTTTTGAACTGAACTGACTGAAATAAATGTTCTACAGAGATCAGCCGACAATGTACAGAGGCAGAAGGACTAAGACCAGAAATGTTTTGTGAAAGACCTCGACCATGTGTGTGTAACACTTGTAATAAAGTTCAAAAGTAAGATTATAATAATGGTTCGTCCCTCGGGGAGGAAAGGGTTGCATCCCACCCACTTTAGTTTAGTTGAAGGGAAAAATGTATATTTACAGTATGTACAATATTTACAACAGTGCACTTCATAAATCAGGTGGAACACCAAGCTCTGGTTGTTATTGTCCATAGTCCATAGTCCTAAGAGTCTAGTAAATAATCCAGGAACAATAATCCAACTCCGTCCCTCACGCTGGAGGTGGTGGGACATGAACGGACTCCAGGACATGAACAAGGACAAGTGTGGCAAAGGCCTCCTACCGCTCCCTTTGAAGAGAGAGCTCATGGTCACTTTAGAGGCAGCGTTCAGTCAGACCTCAGACACAGGGCTGGACTCATGGTCTTCAGCAAACCTGGCCTGAATAATATACAACATGCATGTATCAATACTAACTTTGTGTACACAATAATCACCAAATAAAATGCAAATAATGATCATACCAGTGTGGCATAAATGTACAAATATACCAATAAATAGAATGATTCTCTCAGAATGCATTAAGAGGTGAATAAATAACAATGCATAAAAGGCAGTATTTCATGATAAGTTTCACACGACAGTCAACATAGCCGCGGGAGCTAAAACCAGCTAATCACACTGGCATGGACATTATCTCATAATGCACATTTCATATACAAATGGGCGCGATGCCAAAATGGGCAAATATGCATTACATTGCATTGGTGTAGTGAGTATAAAACAAGAGAATCATGGCGACACTTACCGATCCCATTAAGTATCTCAGTAATATGGTCACGATACATGTCGCGGTAGGCCGACCTACGGGTTGTCTACCGCAGATCTAAAAACAGATCTATTCTAGATTGTGGATTGAGTCATATTGAGGCAAATCTTACCTACTGCCGCACCCAAGTCCCACTTGTCCCACGCTACTGTGTATAAGCAGTATGGTGACAGCACTTCCGGGGTTACCGACCACAAAGGCTCATGGGAAATGGAGTTTTTATCTTTTAGTTAAAAATAAACAAAACTGACACGTGTATATTTATATAGAGGGTTACATGTGTCTGATTTAGTGTTGTACAGAATGTGGTCAGGATTTGGCCTCATCTACATCAGCGCCGATGTTTGCGCACATGTTTTTTTAAGAGATCAATTTACTCGAGAACGGTAAAAGATAGCGACTTACTTTGTTTCCTCCGTGAAGTAAACATTCCAGACATTACAAAAATAGCTTCAGTTTGTCTGTGGCACTTGGGCAGGATGAGCTAAAGTCAGTCTGAAAGTCAGTGTCAATCTGAGTGTTTCTATCCATGCCAAATGTGACATGTACTGTACTTCACTTTGGAGAGACCCAAGAGGAAAATGCAGTTAGAAGTTTATTGATTGAGTATGTTTGGCGCCCTAGGCCCGGGAGAGATGCTGATGAGTGCGGCGCTTGCTCGCGCGCATAATCCCCCCCGGGGCCTAGGCACTGGTGACGGCAGAGGCAGCAGGCGAGCACGCTCTGAAGAGAGAAGGAGGAGGTGGGGCGGCGGAGGCTTTGCAGACTTCAGAAGGCCGGGAAGTGGGCGTCTCCGGCTTTTAACTTGCTGTCCTGGTGGTTATTGGTGGATTGGATGTGGGCGTTTTGCTGGTGTAATGAGTAGAGGATGAGCAGGCTTGTAGCAGCGGCCGGGTCTGCCACAGTGAACTTTCGCGAAGAGCTTCATATTTCTCCTTTGTGAGTGGGAAACTCCTCCAAAGGTGGTGGAGAATGAGCAAAGATCCTGTGGGACTTCCAGATACAGACCGACCGAATGGTAATGAACCAACCTGACATCGTGGTGGTGGACAAAGGGCAGAGGACAGCCGTGGTGGTGGACAAAGGGCAGAGGACAGCCGTGGTGGTGGACAAAGGGCAGAGGACAGCCGTGGTGGTGGACAAAGGGCAGAGGACAGCCGTAGTGGTGGACAAAGGGCAGAGGACAGCCGTGGTGGTGGACAAAGGGCAGAGGACAGCCGTGGTGGTGGACAAAGGGCAGAGGACAGCCGTGGTGGTAGACAAAGGGCAGAGGACAGCCGTGGTGGTGGACAAAGGGCAGAGGACAGCCGTGGTGGTGGACAAAGGGCAGAGGACAGCCGTGGTGGTGGACAAAGGGCAGAGGACAGCCGTGGTGGTGGACGTGGCAATTCCAAGTGATGGTAACATCCGGATGGGGCGACAGTAGCTCAGTTGGTAGAGCATTGGCCTTTGAGCCTGAAGGTCGTGGGTTCAAGCCCACCATGGGACCTTCTCCACCAACTCCCACTGATCACTGCTGTCGTTGTGTCCTTGGGCAAGACACTTAACCCTGCATTGCCTGAAGCCCCTGCTGAAAAATCAAGGCCGTATTGTCACTGACAGAGCAGCCGTCCTCCTGTGGACTCACCACCTGCAGAGGGTCAGTGAGGGGCTGGTGCTATGTGTACTGGGTGCAGCTCTGACTGCCACCCCCCTGACCCAGAAATGGATGAAGGGGAAGAAGATGGATGGATGGATGGATGGATGGTAACATCCGGAAAAAAGAACATGAAAAGCTTGAGAAATACCAAGGTCTCAGAGAGGAGCTGGAGAGGGCCTGGAGGGTAAAGGTCACAGTAGTGCCCGTGGTGATCGGTGCACTCGGGGCAGTGACCCCGAAGCTAGAAGAGGTTACAGCGGATCCCCGGAACAACCTCGGACATCTGGGTCCAGAAATGTGCAGTGCTAGGAACAGCAAAGATACTGCGCAGAACCCTCAAGCTCCCTGGCCTCTGGTAGAGGACCCGAGCTTAGAGAGGGATAACCGGCCGCGGAGGGCCAAAGGTGAGATTTTTTTTATATATATATATATATATATGATGTGAAGAGACTTTGAGAGTCCAGAAAAGCTCTGTAAAAACCTGATTATGATTATGTAAATGAGAGGCGAGTCTTTTATTATCAGTAAAAACCATGGTGACAGAAACATGTGATGCCTTTATAGTTTGTGGAGACTCTGAACATGAACAATGAAAGTGTGTGATCAGAGTGGACAGATGGCTGCGTGGAGCCGTGAGGAGGAGGACCACGGAAACATGACTCAGGATTTCACTTTCTGCAAACATGCTCGTTATGTGAAGAATGACTCTATTTAAAGAGTGGCTCTATTTCAGCGTTGGACTTTAGACGAGTCCAGGGAGGTGGGACCATCTCATACTTTACTGATGACGAGTCCTTATTCACCGAGACGGGCTGAAGGCTTCTGTTTTAGAAAGACTATCTGCAGCAGAACATTTATGGACAGGCTGTGTTAGTTAATGTAATGGGTGCATATTTGTGTTTTTGTCGACCATTTGCTTTTAGGAAACTCTCATCAAACCAATATATTTTTAGACTGACATGAAAAGAAAAGCACTTTTTAATCCAACAAGAAAAACTCTTCACACCCAGTTATTATTGTGGTGTCTGTTCACCGTTCAAAATCACACTCAATCTCGAAAAGGAAAACTTTGCACGAGTGATACTGGAGTGATAATGGAGTGATTCTGGTGAGGTTCTGGAGGGATTTTGGGGTGGGTCTAGAGTGATTCTCAGGTGATTCTGGAGTGATAATGGAGTGATTCTGGTGAGGTTCTGGAGGGATTTTGGGGTGGGTCTAGAGTGATTCTCAGGTGATTCTGGAGTGATTCTAGAGTGATTCTGGTGTGATACTGGAGTGATTCTGTAGTGATTCTGGAGTGATTCTGGTGTGGTTCTGGAGTGATTCTGGAGTGATTCTGGTGTGGTTCTGGAGTGATTCTGTAGTGATTCTGTAGTGATTCTGGAGTGATTCTGGAGTGATTCTGGTGTGGTTCTGGAGTGATTCTGGTGTGGTTCTGGATTGATTCTGGAGTGATTCTGGTGTGGTTCTGGAGTGGTTCTGGAGTGATTCTGGAGTGATTCTGGTGTGGTTCTGGAGTGATTCTGTAGTGATTCTGTAGTGATTCTGGCGTGGTTCTGGAGTGATTCTGGTGTGGTTCTGGAGTGATTCTGGAGTGATTCTGGTGTGGTTCTGGATTGATTCTGGAGTGATTCTGGAGTGATTCTGGTGTGGTTCTGGAGTGATTCTGGTGTGGTTCTGGAGTGATTCTGTAGTGATTCTGGTGTGATTCTGGAGTGGTTCTGGAGTGATTCTGTAGTGATTCTGGAGTGATTCTGGAGTGATTCTGGTGTGGTTCTTGAGTGATTCTGTAGTGATTCTGGAGTGATTCTGTAGTGATTCTGGAGTGATTCTGGTGTGGTTCTGGAGTGATTCTGGAGTGATTCTGTAGTGATTCTGGAGTGATTCTGGAGTGATTCTCCAGGAGATGAAGCTTGTTGTGAGAAAAGCTCAGAGGGAGACGGGGAAACATCCAAACTGCTCAGACTTCGGGAGCTGCATCTCAGCTGCACTTATTGATTTTTGCCTCGTGTAGCTCTGTCTCTTCCATCAAAGCTTCCTCCTCTCCCCTCCTCCTCCTCCCTCCTCCCTCCTCCTCCCCCCTCCTCCTCCCCCCTGCCTCCCCCCTGTCCCCCCGTTGGCACCGGGCCTCACAGCAGCTCGAGTGCAGCTCGAGTTCAACAAACTTCCACTGATGTCGGAGCGACTGTGGACAAACTGTGTCCAAAGGTTAAAACTGTTTTTACCTGTGCTGCTTTTCTATGGAACATGTTTTATACATTTATATCTTATCTTATCTTAGAGAAACATTTTATGCATTATTATTTTCATGTTTGAGAATCATTTTAAATCATTTTCTAATAAAAGTAAATCACCAAGCCTGTAGTATTTGATCATAAATTACCTTTTAACCCTCTCGGCTCAAATTACGTTTTTAAGATTTAAAAATATGATATTTATGGAAAATGACCATGGGGCAGTAACTTGTTAACAGTAGCTCCACACCTGGTCCTCGTCACTTCGGGGCGTCTGCACAGAGACAGTTATGATTGATGGTCCCAGATGTTAGAACATTTTCTTCAGTTCTATGATGAGTTCAGAGGAAGTGAATAAATTGTTGAAGAAGCACTTTAGTTTAGTTCTTTTGGATCTTCTGATACAAACCAAGTCCAGGCTCATGGTCCCAGTCCCTGTTTCAGACTTCAACGTCACAGAGTGGTCCGACTCCTGCTCAAGTAAAGACCTTGATTTCTAGTTGTAATTTTCCAAGTGATTTTCCCTCAATGACTCCTCAAAGTCCTGTGCAAACACTGGTGAAAGGAAAATATCCCTAGTTTACACTTTTCACAAATTACAGTTAACTAGTAGCTAAAGCACATGGCGTGCATTGGTACCTGTCCAGGTCACACGTTGCAAATCTGCAACATCGAAATAGAGCTGATCCTGGAACCCAAATACTGTCCACTAATTGGCTGTCTACATGTTTATCTTTCAGTTTGGTAGTGATGCTGACTGAAATTAATAATAATAATCAGTTTCGGTGAAATTCTGGAGACAGACATGTTGGAGAGAGACACATTTCCCTGAGAGGACAATACAGTTTGACCTTGAACCTAGCTTTGTACAAACCAAACCTCAATGTCAGATTCTGGTTTTCCTAAAGGAGCAGGAAAGGTTTAGCTCCTGTTCTGTGGAATCATCTCCCTCCACACCAGGAGCTGAGCAGTGTCTCTATAATCTATAATCTGGACCTTTGAACCTTTCTCTTTGATTACAGTTTTGAAAGAATAAGACTGTTGCACCTAAACAAACAGGACAAGTACAGCTCTTATTTTTGGTCTTCCTCTTTGTCTACTCTGGGTCTTCCTCTTGGTCTTCTCTTGGTCTTCCTCTTGGTCTTCCTCTTGGTCTTCTCTTGGTCTTCCTCTTGGTCTTCCTCTTGGTCTTCTCTTGGTCTTCCTCTTGGTCTTCCTCTTGGTCTTCCTCTTGGTCTTCCTCTTGGTCTTCCTCTTGGTCTTCTCTGGGTCTTCCTCTTGGTTTTCCTCTTGGTCTTCTCTTGGTCTTCTCTTGATCTTCCTCTTGATCTTCCTCTTGGTCTTCTTCTTGGTCTTCCTCTTGGTCTTCTCTGGGTCTTCCTCTTGGTCTTCCTCTTGGTTTTCTTCTTGGTCTTCTCTTGGTCTTCTCTTGATCTTCCTCTTGATCTTCCTCTTGGTCTTCCTCTTGGTCTTCTCTTGGTCTTCTCTTGGTCTTCCTCTTGGTCTTCCTCTTGGTCTTCCTCTTGGTCTTCCTCTTGGTCTTCTCTGGGTCTTCCTCTTGGTCTTCTCTTGGTCTTCCTCTTGGTCTTCTCTTGGTCTTCCTCTTGGTCTTCCTCTTGGTCTTCCTCTTGGTCTTCTCTGGGTCTTCCTCTTGGTCTTCTCTTGGTCTTCTCTTGATCTTCCTCTTGATCTTCTTCTTGGTCTTCTTCTTGTTGTAGATGTCTTCCTTGCCTTTTTGCCCATGACCTTTCAGTGGTGCCTCAGTAGCGCCCTCTGGCTGTGGTCCCTCAGATCATGGATGTGTTCTGGTCCGTTCTGAGCCGCTTTAACCTGGAGCTGATAAATGAGGCCTGACTCCTTCCTCCCCCACAGACCTCCCTCTCCTTTCCCAGAATGCTTTGCTGCTTTGCCTCCGGCCGTTCCCGCTCAGTATGAGGTGTGTTCGTGAGGCCGTGAGTAAAAGCAGTTTGGGAAAGTTACGTCATCGACGTGATACTGATAAAGTTTATTCACAAATGTTGAATTTTCATTTTTGTCATGAATGAGGTTTGTTTTTTCAAGTTAAAACAACAACAGAACTCTGTGACCCGGAACAGAACATCCCCAGTTCTCAGTGTGTTGCTGCTTTAACTCTCCACTATCGCCCTAAATCACAGCAGACGTTTCTCAGAGCGCTTCAGAAAACCATTGAAATCACCAACACAGATCAGAGAACGTTAATGTTTGGATTGAACCAGAACAGATTATTTTACTATCATATTCTCCGACAAACTATAACCAGCAAATTCAGCACAAACTCTTGACGTCACCGACACCGACCTACAACACCCGCCTCCCCCGCTCTCTGATTGGTCGGAGGGGATTCAACCGAGGAAACTGCAGCCAATAGGATCAGACCCAGACGTACAGGTAGGAGATGACCATGGACCAGAGTTTACACATGGTAAGACCAGACGTACATGTAGGAGATGATCATGGACCAGAGTTTACACATGGTAAGACCAGACGTACATGTAGGAGATGACCATGGACCAGAGTTTACACATGGTAAGACCAGACGTACATGTAGGAGATGACCATGGACCAGAGTTTACACATGGTAAGACCAGACGTACATGTAGGAGATGACCATGGACCAGAGTTTACACATGGTAAGACCAGACGTACATGTAGGAGATGACCATGGACCAGAGTTTACACATGGTAAGACCAGACGTACATGTAGGAGATGACCATGGACCAGAGTTTACACATGATAAGACCAGGGTAAAGTAATAGATTTTTTACACTACAGCCGATGAAATGACCGAGACAAACTCCAATCGTGGCCAGTTTAGCCTCTCCTGTGTTTCCATAATGAGCTGGTCCACGGCCTGTGAGCAGCTTCCTCTTACGCCCTGAGACTGAGTACATTTCAATTATTACTTACACTGAGAAAATGGCTTGAACATAACAATAATTACTAACAGCGGAACCGCAGATTGAAACGCAATCTCTGCAGCGTGACTCATCCAAGATTCTGGTTCCACCAAAACATTTATTACAAAACAAGCAATTAGATGTAAGTGTTGTTTAACTGTTGGTGTCGGAGCGTTTCAGAGCATTACACACACACGCTTCTCCTTTAATGACTGAGGTTTTCTAATCTGAGGCTGAACAAGAAGCTAAAGACTTCATCCAAACACAGGGACCATGGACGGGGTCTAGAGTTAGCAAACCCTTTTCCACATGGATAATACATTTATTTATTCAATAGGGAGAACGCACATTAAAATGATAGTCTGGAACTCTAAATGAATTACAATTTTTAAGAATTGTGTTAAATTGACCTCCTGGCCTTAAATATTGATATGAAATAAGTAATTTATAAATTCTAATATTACGGGTAAGTCCCGCCTTCCCTTCTCTTAGCTATAGCGTAGAATCCACAATGCCGTCCACGTTAACCAATCGAGTCATGCCAAGGGCTGTCAATCATTTATATATGAACCTATATCCATAATCATTTATATATGAACCTATATCCATAATCATTTACAGTGCCTTGCGAAAGTATTCGGCCCCCTTGAACCTTTCAACATTTTGCCACATTTCAGGCTTCAAACATAGATAAATGAATAAAAAAATATTTTTTTTGTCAAGAATCAACAACAAGTGGGACACAATCGTGAAGTGGAACAAAATGTATTAGAAAATTAAACTTTCTTAACAAATAAAAAACTGAAAACTGGGGAGTGCAATATTATTCGGCCCCCTTGCGCTTATACTTTGTAGCGCCACCTTTTGCTGCAATTACAGCTGCAAGTCGCTTGTATGTACTATTGACACTGTTTTCAATTGACACTTGTCACTTTTATTGTACATATATATCCTGCATGTAACATGTTTGCACATTTCCTCCTTTTGCACAATCTGAGTGTCTCTATCCATGCCAAATGTGACATGTACATTTCTCCTGTGAGATAAATAAAGCAATCTTATCTTATCTTATCTCTTATGTCTCTATCAGTTTTGCACGTCGAGAGACTGGAATTCTTTCTCATTCTTCCTTGCAAAACAGCTGGAGCTCAGTGAGGTTGGATGGAGAGCGTTTGTGAACAGCAGTCTTCAGCTCTTTCCACAGATTCTCGATTGGATTCAGGTCTGGACTTTGACTTGGCCATTCTAACACCTGGATACGTCTATTTGTGAACCATTCCATTGTAGATTTGGCTTTATGTTTTGGATCATTGTCCTGTTGGAAGATAAATCTCCGTCCCAGTCTCAGGTCTTTTGCAGACTCCAACAGGTTTTCTTCCAGAATGGTCCTGTATTTGGCTCCATCCATCTTCCCATCAATTTTAGCCATCTTCCCTGTCCCTGCTGAAGAAAAGCAGGCCCAAAGCATGATGCTGCCACCACCATGTTTAACAGGGGGGATGGTGTGTTCAGGGTGATGAGCTGTGTTGCTTTTACGCCAAACATATCGTTTTGCATTGTGGCCAAAAAGTTCGATTTTGGTTTCATCTGACCAGAGCACCTTCTTCCACATGTTTGGTGTGTCTCCCAGGTGGCTTGTGGCAAACTTTAAACAAGACTTTTTATGGATATCTTTGAGAAATGGCTTTCTTCTTGCCACTCTTCCATAAAGGCCAGATTTGTGCAGTGCACGACTGATTGTTGTCCTATGGACAGACTCTCCCACCTCAGCTGTAGTTATCTGTAGTTCATCCAGAGTGATCATGGGCCTCTTGGCTGCATCTCTGATCTGTCTTCTCCTTGTTTGAGATGAAAGTTTGGAGGGACGGCCGGTCTTGGTAGATTTGCAGTGGTCTGATACTCCTTCCATTTCAATATAATTGCTTGCACAGTGCTCCTTGAGATGTTTAAAGCTTGAGAAATCTTTTTGTATCCAAATCCGGCTTTAAACTTCTCCACAACAGTATCTCGGACCTGCCTGGTGTGTTCCTTTGTCTTCATGGTTCTCTCTGCGCTTTAAACAGAACCCTGAGACTATCAAAGAGCAGGTGCATTTATACGGAGACTTGATTACACACAGGTGCATTCTATTTATCATCATCAGTCATTTAGGACAACATTGGATCATTCAAAGATCCTCACTGAACTTCTGGACTGAGTTTGCTGCACTGAAAGTAAAGGGGCCCAATAATATTGCACGGCCCACTTTTCAGTTTTTTATTTGTTAAAAAAGTTTAAATTATCCAATAAATTTCGTTCCACTTCACGATTGTGTCCCACTTGTTGATTCATGACAAAAAAATAAAATTTTATATCTTTATGTTTGAAGTCTGAAATGTGGCGAAATGTTGAAAGGTTCAAGGGGGCTGAATACTTTCGCAAGGCACTGTATATTCTGAACATTTATCCATAATCAGATCCTCTGCAGATGTTCCTATAATGTGCAGTTCATGATAATAGCTTCTTCCTGATTTGCCGCGATCGCTTTTTTCGTATAAAAACATTATTTTTGTCATGAAAACGTAAACAGATAATTCTGAAAACCTCTGTGCATGTGTATTAATAATGTATATGTGTATCAATAATGTATATGTGTATTAATAATGTATATGTGTATTAATAATGTACATGTGTATTAATAATGTACATGTGTATTAATAATGTATAAGTGTATTAATAATGTGCATGTGTATTAATAATGTACATGTGTATTAATAATGTACATGTGTATTAATAATGTACATGTGTATTAATAATGTACATGTGTATTAATAATGTATATGTGTATTAATAATCAATCAATCAATCAATCTTTATTTATAGGGCGCTTTTCCTGCACAGGGCAACACAAAGCGCCTCACAGTCCACACCACACAATGCACAAATCATCACCATTAAAATACAATTAAAAACACATATGTAATTAAAAAGCATTAAAATCACATAAGTAATTTAAAAACATAAGAATCACACAAGTAATTAAAAACAATAAAATAGTTAAAAACACAAAAAGTTACAATAAATAACAAGGTGTGTTAAAAAGATAAAATTCTCTAGTTGTATGCACAGGAAAAAAGAAAAGTCTTTAACATGGATTTGAACATTGACAGAGAGGCAGCCAGTCTCACATCCTCAGGAAGACTGTTCCAGACTTTAGCTGCATAGATCTGAAAAGCAGCCTCCCCCTGTCTAGTCCTGACTCTGGGCACTAACAAGAGTCCCGTCCCTGCGCTCCTCAGAGTCCGGGCTGGTTCATATGGGACTAGCATATCATGGATGTACTTTGGTGCAAGGCCATGGAGAGACTTGTACACCAGGAGAGCTGCTTTAAAGTCTATCCTCTGGGCCACGGGAAGCCAGTGCAGAGACCTGAGGACCGGACTAATGTGGTCGTACTTCCTGGTTCTAGTCAGGACTCGGGCTGCAGCATTTTGAATATACTGCAGCTGTTTTACTGCATGTTTGGAGATACCTGTGAGCAGGCCATTGCAGTAATCCAGCCTACTGGAAACAAAAGAATGGATAAGAATCTCCAAGTCTGCCCTGGACACAATATTTTTAATTTTGGCAATATTTTTCAGATGATAAAAAGCTGCTGATGTTACCGATCCAATGTGGCTATTGAAGTTTAAGTCAGAGTCCATTATTACTCCCAGATTTCTGACCTTATTTAAAGGCCTTAGGGAGAGAGACTGAAGGTGACAAATGACGGTCTCTCTTTGTTTCTCGGGACCAAAGACAATCATTTCGGTTTTGTCCGCATTTAGCTGGAGAAAATTGCATTGCATCCACTCACTGATCCGCTGGATACAGTGAAGGAGTGAGTCCACCGGTCCATGCTCTCCTGCAGTCAGTGAGACATAGATCTGAGTGTCATCAGCGTAATTGTGGTAGGACACTTTCATACTTTGAATTAACTGACCTAATGGCAGCATGTAAATATTGAACAGGAGAGGTCCCAGAATCGACCCCTGTGGCACTCCGCAGGTCAGGGCCATATTATCTGAGACATAGTCTCCAATCTCCACACAATACTTCCTTTCTTCTAGATAGGACCTAAACCAGCTTAGGGCAGTACCAGCAACACCAACCCAGTCCTCCAGTCTCTGCATGAGAATCTCATGGTCAACGGTGTCGAAAGCGGCACTCAGATCTAACATGACTAAAACAGAGACTTTTCCTGCATCAGTGTTAAGCCGAATATCATTTGTTACCTTGACTAGAGCGGTCTCAGTACTGTGGTGTGGTCTAAAGCCAGACTGAAACATGTCAAATGAGTCATTAGATATTAAAAATTCAGTAAGTTGTTGGTAGGCAACTTTTTCAAGAATTTTTCCCATGAATGGCAGATTTGAGATGGGACGGTAATTTTCAAGTACCGCAGCATCCAAACTGCTCTTTTTTAGGAGGGGCCTGATGACTGCCTTTTTCAGGGCCATTGGAAATGTTCCAGATAAAAAAGACATGTTTACTATTTGTGTCAATGAGGGTAATAGACTACACATAACAGACTTCAGGAATCTAGGAGGTAGTACATCCAGACTGCAGGTAGAGGAACTAAGACCTGTGATTATCTTTTTAACAGTTTCATCATTGACAGGTGCAAATTGAGCTAGCTCACAAAGCCTCACTGGATGTTGCATTGTTACTTGTGTTGTAGAGGTGATGGTATTTCTGATACCCTGAACCTTGTCTCTGAAGAACTGTGCAAACTCATTACACCTGGATTTGGAGTAGTGTTCTAATGGCAACTCAACAGGGGGGTTCGTTAATCTATTGATTGTTGAAAATAGAACACGCAGATTATTGCTGCAGCCTTCAATAGTTTCAGAAAAGTATAATTCTCTTGTTCTACGTAGTACTCTGTTAAACTCACACAACTTCTCTTTTAAGAGTTTATAATCACCCTGGAGGTTGGACTTTCTCCACTTTCTCTCTGCTCTCCGGCACTCTTG